GGGGGGGGAGCACACCTGGATGGCACATCTGCCCTGCAGCCTCCCCGCTCCATCCCTCCTTCCCCAATTACCACCGAAAGCCCGGGATTAGAAATATATACCTTCCAGCTTCCTTCCTGCCCTCCTCTATCGCGGCATCCATCTCCCCCCATAGCCGCTTCCTATCCCTCCCAGCCTATCACGTAATCTACCATTCACCTTCAAATTAGAGATTATTATGGCTGCCTTGTATTTCCTTCCCCTTCCTGCTGAGCCGACCCCCCCCTCGCTTCCCCGTACCCGCATTCCCCTTTTTCTTTGCCCTTTTCCTACAGTTCAACCCATTCTTCTCCCCCACCCAGCGCCAAAAAGGAGGGGAGGGGACGCGCAAAACCCAAACAACCCCTGGATCACAAACATCTCCCTTATATTATTTCACTTCCCACTGTATAATTGAACCTCTCTCCCCGCATCCTTGTCTTAAGTTTGTTTTTTAAGACGCCTTCTATTAGATTATACTCGTTCATTCCCCCCTCCAACCTTATCTCTCCTCCTCTCTTCTCTCCTTCCCGTCACACTCGATTTAGGAAGGAGTTTATCTTGCAAACATTTGCCTACTTTGTTTATGTAGACCAGGTTCTGCAGCTACTTGTTCCCAAAAGCCACTGTTTGCCTTTGTAATTGTTATCTGTGTTTATTGTTGTACCTCATTTGTCTCAGCTTTTTTTGTGACATGTAAGCTCCGTGTGTGCTCACATCCAACCCCCCCTCCCTTCTCCCTCTCCCTGTATTTTTCTTCCCTTTTCCCTCCCCTCTCTCCTCTCCTCTCTCTCTCTCTCTCCCTGAAATATGCACAGAATAACTGAGCCTAAAGCCAATGAATTGCTTGACACTACCCTATCTCTTTCCTGCCCCCCATTATTAGAGCTGATCCCACTCGCAACACTCACAAATCCCGCCTGGTCTCTGTTTGATTAGATTGCCAACCTTTCGTAATCCCTTGATTTGATGAAGTGTCTGTTCCCCCCCATTTCCCCCCTAAACATACATTGACAGAGAAAGCTCTTGTTGGTTTTACAACGATGCAGATTGTTTGCTGATAAATGGACCCGAACCCCCCCCCGGCTCTTAGGGACAAAGCCACTTCCCAGGTGTGGCAGCGAGGGGCTGATCCCCCCCCCCCCTTATTTTCCCCATATCCACTCCCCCGAATTAAATTAAATTTGGCAGGACCCAAACAGCCTCCCCCCCAAGAAAAGAACCCTAAACTCTACACCAGGGACTGCTATCACATTCAATCATTACCACCTCGGGGCGGGGAGGGGGGGGGGGGATGGATAGGGGATGGTCACACCTGTTCACGCTTCCAAAACCCCAATACAATTAAACGCTGCTCTGTATCCATCTCTTCCAACCGGGTTTCCCATCCCAACCCCGCTATCATTTCCATGGGGGGGGGGGGGGGGGGGCCCACGGCCGGGCCGCCATTGGGGCCCCGGGTGCAAAAAAGGGGAGCCACGAAAAAAAAGAACCGGGGGGGGGGGGAGGGAGGGCAGGGGGGGGAGATGCCAAACAGTAATGAGTCGTAAAAAAACATAAAGTCATAAAAACGCGCCGCTATAAGCGATTAAAAACAATAATTACAAGAAACAACAAGAAAATTAAGTGATTAATAATGCTTAATAACGCCAAGCCACCTGTCCGGCCTGATCCCAAACCCTGCTGCCATCCCCGCTCTGTTTCGGCACAGCGGCCCCGAACGGGACACCCGTGGCCACAGGGTGACACGCGGGGGGGTCATTCCTTTGCTGAAGCTCATCCCCCTCCTCCCATGCTTCACATCTGCTTGTAATTAATACGAGGCCTCGCCCGAAGTGTGGGCACCAATCCTCAGCACCCCGTTAAATTTGGGGGGGGGTTCGTTCCCCCATTCACCCCCACGGTTCCACCTCGCATCTCCGGGTGCGGGGTGAAGCAAAGCAGCGCCACCCGTGACCCTCCCTAATAAACCCCAAACGCTCACAAATGAAAGAACAACAACAAACGACAACAAAAAATAATAATAACTCGCTCTTAACAAGGATAAAAAATAAAAATAAATAAATAAAAAATAAAGTGAAGCCTCATGAATATATGCCCAGGGCTAGCTGGAGTGAGCCGTTTAAAGATGAAAGTGCAAAGAAATAAAGGCTCAATTTAATCTGCCTTAAAACCCTTCAACTTAACGTTTGTGCTGGGAACTCAGAGAGTGAGTACTGATTGGGGATAAATACATTTCTTAGCATGCCTTGGAGCTATTACACCCTTCTCCAACACAGCTCCCTATTCAACAGCCACAGTTTTCATTACCAGCTCTAATAAGTCTTAACATTATTAAATGCCAAGCAGACGATAGAAAGAAACAGGCGCAGGGTGGAAGCTTTCTTTAACACTTAAAAAGAGAGAGCATTTAGGGCTGTCTTCCTCCGGCTCCCCGCGAGGAGAACCCGCAAATGGAGCAAAGGCGTTTGGCAGGAGGAAAAAGGCCAAAACAAAGTTTCCCCCTCTCCTTTTTCTCCCTCCTCCCCCCCTCCGTCCGCAACCATCATGAAAATGCCTTAAAAAAAAAGAAAAAGGGAGGGGGGGGAAGGAGGGAAATAAATAGGAAAAATAAAGCGAGGAATACAAACACCCAACGCAGAGCTGGGAACGAGTGCCAGGAATGCGTTAATATATATATACATATTTAATAATAATTTAATATCAAACTTCGAGATCAATTCCCATGGAAGGGGCGTCGTGATTCCCGGCTCTAAAAGGAATAGCAAAACGCCGCCTCGGAACCTTTTACAAACTGACCGCTCATTAATTATCTTAATTGGGGCTGTTTAGAAACTTTTCTCCGTATTGATGGCTGCTGTTATTATTGGTGGTATTTTTTAATTGCTCTGACAGCCCCGCGCCCCGTTTCACCGCTGCCCGCTATTTCGGCAGCTCCGCAAAAGCAAAGCTTTTTTTAGGAGGTTTTTTTCCTTCAGATCCAAGCAGGAGAAGGAGAAAATAAAACGCACGGGAGCCCAGCAGCCCATCAATAATGATTTATCTCCGGGAATGGGCGCTCCGCGGGCTGCGGCAAAAGGGAATCAGCCCAAATGAGCGCTCGATTCAAAGCGGGTTCCGCAAAGCACCCGCGGTTCGTTTTGATTTTAATTTTAATTTTATTTTTTCCCCGAGAGAAAACAAACCAAAGAAAATAACTAAACAGCAACGACCTCGAGATGTAAAAATCGTTACTTTTCCCAGCGATGCGACCCGGAGAAAAACCACCTCTCCGAAATGAAACCCGACGCATCGCGCGGTGACGCGGGGGCAGTTTTTCCCCCTTCCACACAATGGGCTCCGATTTGCAAATGAGCATCGCCTATTTCCAAATCACAAGCAACATTTTGCAACGTCCAACGGCTCGCCTTTTTTCCAACAGACGGTCCTATAATATTACAAAACTATCTAACAGCAGGGAGTTTTGAATAATTTATCTCCCTTTCTTCCCTTCCTTGGCCCTTTGTCCCAACTTTTTCTCCTCCTTGCAGAATTTTGAATGAGAATAGAGAAGCCCTCCCTCCCCCATCCTTCTACTCCATTTTTAAGGCAGCCTAGGGTTTTTCCCCTTCTTTTTTTCCCCCTTTTTACACCCCCTCCCCTCCACACCCCTTTTTCTTTTTTTTTCCTTCCAGTGTTTGCTTTTGTGGCCGGGAATCTTTTGCTTATAAAGCTTCAATAGACTCGAAGGTCTTTGTAAGTGAAGTTCATCTTCAAGGTTGGAAAAAAAAGAGAGAGAGAGGGAGAGAGAGAGAAAGGGGGAGAGAGATCGGATCCTTAAAGAACCCCCTTTTGTGCACCTTCATTTAAACGTTTGATGGTGACACGGAGAAGCTTTTCTCTGCCCCGAATTCCCCGCACTTCAATATTCCCCCCCGCATTGTCCCGAATTGGGGAAAACTTTGCAGCCTAGTGAGAAACTTTGTGGAAGCTCCGTTGCCGATACGGCAAACCGGCCCTCAAGCCTCGCAAGCCGGCCTCACCATCGCCATTTTGCCATCAATTCGGGGGCGAAAATAAACAGCAAAACCTTCATTCTTCAGGCTTTCCTACGGAACTTCGTAATTCCCGCTTTCCTCCCCCAAAAAGCGCTTGGACGCGACGAAATCATTCCGTGCCTAAAGCAAAACCTCCTTCCCGTCCCTCCAACTTCCCCCCTGGTTTCACAAAACCCTCATTGCCAAACTTCGATAATTTTCGCTAAAAATACCGGTTTCCCTTCTTTTTTTTTTTTTTTTATTTTTTTTTGGAAGGCTGAGGACTCATCTCCCCCACCCAGCTCGCCAAAATGACATTTCCAAAGCGCCACGAGCTCGAAAACCTCTCATTCCCAGCCCTCCCTCCCCCCCCCCCACAATCAGAGACAAGTGCAGTGTCACCGGGTCCCCCCTCACCGAGCTGCCCTCAAGCTTTCCACCAGCAGCCCCAGCTTTATTATCCCTATTTATTATTTGCCTATTTATTATTTCCCCCCGAGCCCGGTGCTGGTGGCTCTCGCTGCAGCCCCACAGCAGCGCGCATCCCGTGCTCTCTAATTGATATTGATTGGCCAAATCGGTCAACTGTCAGCCAGAGTTTCAGGGGACCACTTAGAGAGCAGGAGAGAAATCTGTTTAACAAATTCATTTAGGAATCAGAGATGCCTCCCCTCAGTCATCTCCCTTTATAAATAATTGATCTGGAGCGGCCGCGAGCGAAACACTGACAACTCTTCCATGCGGGGATGAGAAAACATCACAACCCCAAAGGCTGGGTACCAGCAGCCCCAGCAGCATCACACTTTGGCTCTGCCATCAGCCCTACTTGGAAAGGACAGCTGTAAGGCTCTGCAGCCAATCCCTTTCTTATTCCCCATCTAAAAAGTGGTGGGCCGTGTTCCCAAAGGTTCCCCCCATCCTAAAGGTTCCCCCAGTCCAACCTGGGGCACGCGTGGCCGCCTCTACCTTTGTCGCCCAGGATGCCATCTATGCTGTGCTTGGCCTTCTTCTCCCCGTCTTCCTCCTTCTTGTCGCAGTCCTCCTCTTCCTCTTTCTTCCCGAATTTGATGCGTAGCACACGGCTAATCGAACTCACTAAACCTCAGACAGTCAAAGACAAGAAGGCAAGTATAAGCTGCCTGGGAACGGACGGGGGAAACCCAAGCTGGAGCCTCATACACATCAAGGGCACCTGCACCTCTTTGCCCACTTTTATGCACCCACTCCTTCTGCCAACTGCACCCAAGCACCCCTCAGTTCACCCAAGTGACGACAACTTGGGTGCCTGAAGATGGATGCATTCATCACCAACCCCAAAACCCCCGGCCCCGCTCATGGGGTTGCACGTCCCAGGGTTCCCACCTGCTTTGTGGCAGGGAAAATGTCCCCAGCTCTTGGCTTGCAACCCTCAGTGGGACCAGGAAAGGCCCAAAAGTTTGGATTCAGCCTCCCCAGGACCTCACTTTTGGGGACCTGTGCCCTGCAGAGCAGGCTCAGCTCCTTTGGAGCAAGAGAGGAACTCTGAGCCAAAGGAACCAGGACCTAAAAAACATCCAGACCCTCAGCACATCTCAACACTGGGGTACAGCATCATTTTCAGTGAGCGATGGCATTCCTGGATGAATGGAAGCACTGCTGTGCATCCTCAGTGAGCAAGACATGGGCTGAAGTCCCCCCAACTCTGCTTTGGGATCTACCCCATGCAAGCTGCCCTCAGGTTGGAGACCCCCAGCTGTCCCCAGGGAGCTGGGATGACTTGAAAAAACCGCTTTGGTTTGCATCCCTCCCCATGCAGAGCAAGGAGCAAGAGGATGCCGCAGACAACCCTGCCCCAAAACGCCTTTTTGGGATCACGGGTGGCCTTACGGCCAAGCTGCCTTCTCACCTGAGGGCACAGTGCTGCGGTCGCAGTGCCCATCCTTCAGCAGCCTGTCCCGGATCTCCCAGCTGAACATCCCAGGGTTTTCCCTCTTGTATTCCTCGATTTTCTTCTCCACGTCGGGAGTCGCAACCTGCTTTTGTGGTCAATGGCCACCGGTGCGTGCGTGAGCAGAGGGAGGGAAGGGGAGAGAGAGAAAAAGCCCTTTTAATTGAAAAATTACACCGGGCTGCTAGCTTCGGGGGCAAAAACATTAAAAATAGTTGAATCTGAGGGATGGGAAGGAGGAAAATAAAGCTGGGGAGAGGTATGAGGTTGTCCCCCAGGTGTGGATTCCATTTGTCCTCCTTAAAACTAAAGGACAAGGAGATGGCAAAGATGGGTTTAACCTGAGATGGAAGGAAGGAGGGGAGGCGAGGGATGCTTTTTTGGGGGGTGCTGTGTAAACCTGAAAGCAAACAGGGGCCGAAGGAAACGCTCGAATGCTTGCCACTTGTTGCACGCTGAAAACCCCGTTAATTTAATCCCATCCTGCTGCCCGGCGCTGTTTTCTCCCCATCTTTGCTCAAAACCCGTTCGTTTCTTTCATCCCTAAATTCACCCCTTCTCGTCCCAAAAGAAGATCCCTCCCCGGCTGCTTCCTAGCACCGTGTATCAGGCCCGTAACGCGGCCCCACATTGCACTCACCCTGGGCTTGCTGCCCCCGATGGCCCCGGGTCGGATGGAGCCCGTCTCTTGGTACCTGCAGAGGATTTTGGAAACGCAGCCGTGGGAGACCCTGAGCTGCCTGGAAATCACGCAGGGCCGGATCCCGTGGTGAGCCATCTCCACGATCTTGTGGCGGATGTGGTTGGGCAACGGGCGCCCGTTGATGAAAACCCCTCCGAGTTGATTCACCCGGCCCTGGCCCAGCGGGGTGGACACTGGGAACGGGGGGAGGGAAAAATGGTGAAAAAGGGCAAAAAAAAATCCGTCAAAATTCCACGCATCCCTCCCCGCGCCTCCAGTTTGCATCCCAGAGATTTGCACCTCTCCACCGTGTCCTAAAATAGGGGCAAAACCCCTCCCGTCCCATGGAATTGCTTTTTATCCCATATCCCCGCGGTGCCCTTCGCTGTAGGGGAAAGTTTTCCCGTTGAAAATAGGAGCCGCGCATCGCATCACCCCTCCGTCCCCTCGGGGTTACAGAACTTGGGGCGTTTCACACCTACACTTTGAACCAGAGCCGAAAGAGGAGAAGATTTAAAACCTGGTGGCAAAGCCAGATAGGATTAAAAAAAAGAAAAAGGAGAAGAAAAAAAGTTCGCACTTCTCCCCGAAAGCGCGCAGCGCTCCTCGCTCCCGATGAGGAGCTCCGCGTCCCCGATGAGGGGCTCCGCGCTCCGAATTAATGAGGGGCTCTCTGTTTGCGACCCAACTTTTGGGAAACAGGCTCTCGAAATCCCCTCGAGGGTTTCTTTCTATGGGTTCGGAGGAGCCGCGATGCGCGGCACCTGCGGGGTCGGTATTTCGCGCTGTAGATTTCGGAGATTAATACGATTTCACAGGCTTGGAAATTAGGGGGGGGGGGGGGGAAAAAAAAAAAAAAAAAAAAATACGGAGGGAAGAACTCAGCTGCGCAATTTGCAGCGAGGCTGGAGGGGGCGAGGGGGTGATTTTCTCTTTACAAAGAAAAGTCGATTCCAGAAATTGCCTCGCGATTTAACAAGAATCATGCACCACTAATTCAAAGTCACTTGGCCAGCACTCCCTGGATATATCATTATCGACAGATAACACTCGAGTGGCCAATTTTACATTCAAGAGGTACTAAAACCGCCGCCCGCTCTCTCTTTTCATTATTCCCAGTCATGTTGTGCAAATATTGTTGTAATCCTTTGATCCTTTCCCTTGCCGTCTGTTTTACTTCATTTGCTACAGAAAAGCACTTCAGCAAATCCCCCCAGCTTGTATGTTTTGCAGTCTGCGTGGCTTTCCCCAGCTCTGAGTTTCGCCACTTGATCACGGTCTGTATGAAATTCTCCTCTTTAATAAATGCGGGGAAAGGGCTCCTACTTTAATTCTGAATTTTTTTTTAATTTTTTTTTTTTAATTTTTTTTTAAATTTATTATTATTCCCTCGCACAGCTTTGGGCAGAAATCGTAAGCCGGGCGGCCGCACAAAGGGAAAGAAAACGACGGGGGAAGTTGGTGGCTCCGCAGTGGAGATGTCATCCCCATGGATGACACTTCTCGAGGTGACAGCTCCCGTTTCCCCCCCTTTTTCCTCTGCCGAAGCACCGCATCTGTTCCCAGCCCCGAAGCTCCGGCTTTGGCTTTTATTTTCCTGGGGAGAAGTTTGGAAACAATCGGTTTTTTCTTGCTATTTTGTTTTTCCCCTCCTCCTTTCTTTCTCTATAGGGCCGGGACTCTTTGAGTTTGGGAAATGATAATAGTAGCCATACCAAGAAAGGGCGAGCCTAAAACCCGCTCCTAACTCCTCGAAACGAGAGGAAAAATAAAGAGCCAAGCGGCACCAGCCGCTCGAAGAAAGGCACGGCGTGAGAAAAGAGCTCCGACCTCCCCAAAGTTGGATGCTCCGCACAGGATCCCCCCCCTCCAACCCCCCATCCTCACCCAACTCACCTCTCCCCGCTTTCAAATCCATCCCAAATTCATCTATCTGAAGTTGTCCTCGCACACGTTAAGATAGATATACCTACCTTCTAAAGGGAAGCCGGTGCGAGGGTAGTTTTGCCCCGGCGCCGGGCGCATCATCCGCGGTACCGTCCCGGGGAGCGCTGCCATAGCGGGGGGCGGCGGAGCGGCTCCGTACGGATCGGGGTCACCCCCGAACCCCGGGAGAGCCGAAAGATCAACGGGTTTTTTCCTTCTCTGTTGGTCCCAATGAGGCTGGAAGGGCTTTCGATGGTTTTCCAGCCCCGGCGGCTGTTTTTTTAAAAACAAAACAAAAAACCAAACAAACCCAAACGAACAAGGGAGAAATCATTGCTCCGAATGAATGAAAACAATAATAATTAAAAAATCGTCATCAGAGGAATCGTTAACGAGGTGTGGAGGGGGGGAGGGGGGTGAAATGATGGGGGGTGAGGGGTGAATGGAGAAGCGGAGCAACCAACGGGGGGGAGGTCGGAGCTCTTTTCTCACGCCGCCTTTCTTCGAGCG